TGTGAGTGTGAGTGTGAGTGAGTGTGTGAGTGTGTGTGTGTGTGTGTATTAAAAGTAAAAAGTACTGATTGATGAACCGTGTTTATTTGTTCTATTCATCAGTCATCAGTCTAAAACTAAAACTAATAAAACGTTTTTATTAATGAAAATAAAGCCGAAACAGAGTAAAATATAAATATTAGATGAAAAACATTAGAAATGTTGCCTTGGAAACTGAAATGGGTTACTAGATGGAAATAAATAAAAAACTGAAATAAAAATAAACGACATAGTACCCAAATAGTATGACAAAAAAACATAATAAAATTAAAGAAATGTAAATTAAAATTAACATAATATACAGAAAATACACTAATAAGAAAGAACAGTGCAGACATTTAATATGTATTGATATGCAAATTAGCAAACTTTTTATTTATTACCAAAACTACTTATACACTATCAAAACATTAAACATCAGTATACTTAAATATATATATAACATAAGTGTGCAGACAATTAGAATAACAAAAATAGCAAAAACAAGATTAGTGTAAATGTGGCTACCAAGAGATAAAAACCACTGTACAGATAGCCAAACGCATCGATGTTTCACGAGGAATGTTATGAAAACACAAGAGTGTTATATGATATGAGTGGGCTGAAACTGACTCTCTGATTCATACGGAGCGGCAGATGAATCGTTCGGTGTGTTCAAACGAATCCGTTCATTCAGCAGTCAGACGATGCTCTTGTCTCAGAGCCGGCGGGGTTTCTTCAGCTCAGAGTGATGCTTCATGCAATGCAGTGGGATTCAAAACAGTGACTCAAACATCTCCCGAAATAAAAATGCTCTGATCAAGTACAGCGACTGATTTAGATGCAGTCTAAGTGCGTGTTATTTTTGATCTGTGCTAAATTTAGCGTCTGGCCCTCGGAAACATCACATCATCACAGTTTCTGCTTCCTGTGCGGCTCACAGATGCGTGTCCGTTTCCAGACCTCAGCGCGCCGTGTGTGTGTGTGTGTGTGTGTGTGTGTGTGTGTGTGTTTGCCGCCTCATTTCTCTCTCTCAGTTTCCAGAACCTGGGTATTCAGTGCGTGAAGAAGAAGGATGTGGGAGATGCAGTTTCCTGTCGCCTGCAGACACAGAACAACCCCTTCAATAGTGAGTGACCGAGAAACACACCTAACCACGGAAACCCTGACTCATTTTCATCTTCAGGATGCGCAGAGGAACAGCAGCTATTAGAGATTAGAAATGTCACTTTTGATCAACTTAATGCATCCTTGATCAGTAAAAGTGGTCATTTCTTACTGACCCCAAACTTTTAAATAGTACTGGATCACAGAAATATTGTGCAGCACAACAGGTAAACAGCTGTATGCTGGAGACAGATGCTGATGTGTGTGTGTGTGTGTGTGCGCGTGCAGTCCCGGAGCCCAGGATCTGGGAGGAGGAGTACGATCTGAACGCGGTGCGCCTGTGCTTCCAGGTGTCCATCACGCTGCCCAGCGGAGAGCTGTTCTCTCTGGAGCCCGTCGTGTCTCAGCCCATCTATGATAACCGTGAGTGTCTCGCCGCCGCCGCGCACGCGTCTGACCACTAACACACGAGCCTGACCGCTCTGACCTCTCTGACCTCTCTCTCCTCAGGAGCTCCTAACACAGCCGAGCTCAAGATCTGCCGCGTCAACAGAAACTCCGGCAGCTGCCGCGGAGGAGACGAGATCTTCCTGCTGTGCGACAAAGTGCAGAAGGGTGTGTGTGTGCGTGTTCATATTTTGAATTAGTATTTATTTATTTATGTGGGTCAAAGACGTTAAGATGTCCGCATCGAAAGAAATGAACAAAAGTGATTTTATGTCCGTAGAGAGCAGATTAAATGCAAGTAAAGTGTCTACTTTGAAGGTTCCAAATAAGTTTTTGGAGAATAAAATGTTACAGTTTGGTTGAAATAATGTTACATCGTCATTCAGTGTTACACAATATTTATGTAAACATTCAAACATGCTTATTCTGACGTGTGCAAATTAAAATATATAAAAGAATAAGAGAGCATATTAAATTTGATTGTATTTTAAATGAGTAAAAATCATTGCTGACAAACGGGCAAAACCTAGGATAGTGGCACATTTAAAAAATGTTAAAATTACAGCTGATTAGTGTTTGGGGTGAAAGTAATTAGTCTTTTAATGTGTCATAAATTGATTTTTGTTGTAAATATGCCTGACGAGATTGTTACACTGAATGATATTCTAGTGGGCGCATTCTGAAAATCAGGGGAAAATGTATGATATTTATTTTTTGCTCTGAAAAACAAAAACAAAATTGCAATTAAATTAAACAGAAAACTTTTAATTTTTGGGGGGGAACACAACAACAATTTAAAGCAGTATTACACTTATTGTTTTTAAGCTTAAACCCTTTTTTGTCTTTGACCCATTTATTACCCAGTGTCATCTTGAGTGATTTTGTTGTGTGTTTTGGTCACTTATTATTAGCTGGTTGCTGTTGTAATGTCTATAAGTGTCCATTTGAGTTATTTGAGGTACTTCAGGTTAAAATTGGGAATGTTCAACTAGCTAAATAATAATAATAAGTGTTTCTTAAATGTGTTTTGTATGATTGCAGTTGAAGCATGTCTACATGCTTTCCTCTAAATATCTAAGCTTCATATTAAAAACGAGTTTACTTGAGAATCTGAGTTATGTAGATAGTAAATATAAAGATTCAGTTTATTTCTCCTCTTTTGTCAGTGTATTCATCAAATAAGGAAAATCTATTTAATTCAAGATATTTTCTCTGAAGAAATTGCATCTGGAGTAAATAGTTTATTTTAAGGTTTTTAAAAAAATTTGATGGAAGCCCGTATCCGCCACTGAATAAAGAAATAAAGATAATTGTGACTTTTTATTGTGGTTTACGGTGAGTTTATAACAGCTAAGGGGTGCTGTTAACCCCCTAGAACCCCCTTAGCTGTTATAAACTCACTGTAAACCACGGCTTCACGGGGATTATTGCTTTTATTAAAACGGTTATTCCATATACGTAGTAAACAAAGGTGTGTGTTACTTTGTAGAGTCATTTACAACAGCTGCGAACGCGGCTCAGCCAATCAGAGCCAAGCACCGGAACTCTCCGCTTTATAATTACATTTTAGTTTTATTTCAGTGCGTCAAGTTGAACTAAATAAAAAGGAGAAATAAGCTAGCTGAAATAAAATCAGTTGATTGCTGTATTTTATTAAAACGGTTATTCCATATACGTAGTAAACAAAGGTGTGTGTTACTTTGTAGAGTCATTTACAACAGCTGCGAACGCGGCTCAGCCAATCAGAGCCAAGCACCGGAACTCTCCGCTTTATAATTACATTTTAGTTTTATTTCAGTGCGTCAAGTTGAACTAAATAAAAAGGAGAAATAAGCTAGCTGAAATAAAATCAGTTGATTGCTGTATTTTAAATAATGAGCTGTGTTTAGTTCAGGATAATGATGTGCGTTCGCTGTCTGTGCTCTAGAGGACATCGAGGTGCGTTTCTTCCAGGACTCGTGGGAGAGCAAGGGCTCGTTCTCTCAGGCTGATGTTCACCGGCAGGTGGCTATCGTGTTCCGCCCGCCTCCGTACCGCGCCG